ATCTCAAGCTATTTTTATATAGAATATGGAGAGACATGGATTAGATGATACATTTAGAATCAGATTCAAAGAGTAGTTAATGTTTCAATGTTCATGTACTAGGCCTCAAGTGGAGTACTACACAGATGTGGTTAAATTTTTTCTTATCAGTTTAGATAAATGCACGGATAGTATACCCATAAAGTTGCAGAGGGAAGGGAGACGATGGAGTCAGGATCCCAAAAGATGTTGACAGGCTAGTTTGGGCTCAATGTAATAAAAAAAAAAATTCAACTGGGAGAAGTGTAACATCTTACACTTGGATAAAAAAAAATCATCACAAAAACTGAGTGATGGAAGTACAGTTAGATAGCAGTTTGAAAGAGATATGGGGGGTTTTGGTAGACTGCAAACTTACTATGCATCAGCAGTGTGATATGACACCCAAAAAAGTCAATGTCATTTTGGACTGCACTGAGAGGCAGTTTCTAGGCAGCAGGTAATGAAGTCCTTAGAACTCTGACCTTATCTGACCTTATTCAGAGCACTATACTCTCTTCGGGACACCACAGTTTAAAAAGGTAGTTGATAAACTGACAAACACCCAAGTGGGCAACCAGAACATATTACCATGCTACATCAGGACTGGCTGAAGGAAATGGGGATGTTTAGCTTGCAAAAGACTCAGGGTGATACGATAAAAGTCCAAGTATCTGAAAAGTAACGGGGAAAGGGAATATGAAATTTTCACTTTGACTCCAGAGGACAGAATCAGGAAAAGGGGCTGGAAATTTCCCAGAATTAACTTTAGGCTCTAAGTAAGGAAGAACTAACACCAATAGTAACTATCCAATGATGAAAAGGGCTACCGGGAAAGCTAAGTGATTACCAATCCTAAGGGATGAGGGTAAGAGGATGTTCTTTAAACAGAGACTGGATGACTCCTTGTCAGCTGTTATAGTGCGGCTTTCTTTTGCATATATGCTTAAAACAGTTGACTGCTGAGGTCTTTTCCAACTCTCAAATTCTGTGATTCATAGACTCCAATCCTTCCTCATCCCCTGTCAATATCTCAGGATCTTAAGTATTCATTTTGACAGCCTTCTAACATCTAAGCCACACAATTTCTCAAACCTGTGATTTCAAACCCCTCCTCCACCCTCTTAAGTCACACACAACATAATTAAACTTTACATTTTACCATCTAGAATTGTATTACTTTCAAGATCCTGAATTATGAAATCCTGTTTGTCATTATCCACCTTTCCACCTCTCCCACACATATTAAAACTATTCTTCATCCGTGTGACTTCTTCCTTCCTATACATTCCCCTCCCTCCAACTCAGCTTCATTCACCTCTATAGTAAGTCTTCATACCACTGTCTGCCACTGACTTAACAGCTACTACTTCAGACTCTTTGTTCCTCCAGCTTTTTGCTCTTCTCAACTTGATAACTGTGTTTATTATTTCTGGGTAATTTCTGGGAAACCTGATTTTGCCACTTCTTTCACTTGGGGTTTTGACTGCCCCTGGAGAAAGTGAATATATTCCATTCACTACAAATTGATGGCGCATCATCTTAGCTAGGCCCTCACAACTGCTGGACAGTTGTTGACAATCACATGCCACAGTATCATGCCTTGTACTTTAAACTTAGATTTTCAATAAACTACTTATCCTCCAACTTCAATGAGAAAATTAAGGTCATTAGAGGTGAGATCTCTCAATTTCATGCACTTATCATGCTTTACAGAAATTTACAGATGTGCCACATCCCTTTACTAGACTACAAGGTCTTATGGCAATGACTGTACTTTTAACTTTTTATTGTCTCTAGGGCCTATCACAGTACTCTGCCTGTAGTAGGCACTTAAAAACTTTTTTTTTTAAATGGAACCATTCCTTTCCCATGCACTGCCAAAATTATTCTTTCTCCTGACAATTTCTTTTAATGGCATGATCACTCTCCCAATCACAATGGAAGTTATCTTTGCTTTTCCTTCTCCATCCCTCACATATCAAGGTTATTATATACTGCTGATTCTACCTCCTTGATATCTCTCATATCTGTTCTCCCCCTTCCAGTGTATTCTAGGGGAAGATGCTAGGACAGCAAAGAGGCAAGGCATCGGCATCTGTCCCAGGAAACTAAAAGAACTGCCAGATGTGAAGGATCCTTGACTTGAACAAGATAGGTATTTTAGAACTGTGGGATAAACCTTGTCCTAATTTTCAAAAAATGGGAAGAAGGATGTCACAACTATGGGCATGAGAGCTTATTAAAGGGATGAAATGGAAGATTTGATTATCAACAACTGGTGATGGACAGAAAAGAGCAGTATTTATTAAGTCGGAAGACCTTATATCAACGGTCAATTAACTCACCTCTCTGATGCTTACTACCTTTCCTTATGTGATCTTGCATAAGTTACTTAACCACTCTAGGCCTCAGCTTCTTTATCTGTTAAAAAAAAAAAGAAAATAGGAAGATAGCTTCTGGCCTTTTTTTTTCAGCTTTAGATTTATGATGGTGAGATTATGCCAGAAGGAGGACTGAAGTTATTTAGCCTGGAAAAGATTTAGGGGAAGGAGAATGGCCAACATAGCTGTCCTAAGTACCTGAAGGGCTGTCTTTAGGAAGAAAGGTTAGATTTATTCTGCTTACCCTAGAAGAATAAGGAACAATGTGCACAAGTTGAAGAGAGGCAGATTAAGTTTTATGTAAAAAAAAGCTTCCTGGAAGTTAGTCATCCAAAAGTGGAAAGGGCTACCTCTTGAGCTAGCTGGCTCTTTCTCATTAGGTCTTTAAGCAAAGGGTAGATGATCACATGCCACATATCATAGAGTGTTTGCTTGTTCAGGTACAGACTCGACTAGTTAGCTTAAGATCCTTTCCAAATTTTAAACTTTGGGAATCAGGAACAGGCCTTCCCATACTCACCTCATTTTCTTTTTTTGATAATTACTAAGACCAGTAGATGAGCAGCATGCTACAGACACAGCAGAGTATCTGACAATATTTCTCATGCTTCTCTTGTGGATGATATATATGTGTGAACTAGATTAAAGTACAATTAGGTAGATTCACAACTAGTTGAATGGGTATACCCAAAGAAGTCACCTCATGGGGAGGTCTCTATTGGAGTGTTCAAAGGATTTGTGCTTGGTATATAGTTTTAACATTTTTATCAGACTCAGGTAAAGGCACA